GTGTGTGTGTGTGTGTGTGTGTGTGTGTGTGTGTGTGTGTGTGTGTGTCTGTATGTGTGTGTGTGTGTGTGTGTGTGTGTGTGTGCCACATGGTATAGCTCCTTCCAATTTTCCTGTGTTTGTCAGACTCTACACACAGACTCCTGGCACAAACAGGGATGTCCAACTGTCCAACACGTGACTCAATCATTCACAGACACAGCCATCATCAGTGGAATGAAGCATTGACAGATCATTCTCCACAGAGGGAATTTATCCCAGAATGAACCGCACCGCAATCGCAGACTGGGAAAAATGATTCAGTGAAGCTTGTGCTTGTGATGATGCTTGTGTTGTAACATACAAAATGTGTTAGCTTATAAGAATTTTCAGCTAGTATGTATTTAATATAAAGGCATGAAAAACCACACAGGAAATCCACTATACTTCGTTCCTTGTTTTTGGGCAACAACACAAATCACTTTTAAATTACTTTTGATATGAAGTCCTTTTGTTTTAGTTATTAATATTAATTCGCATGTTGATTATGAAGATCGAAAATGAGCTCATGTGCTGCTTCGATGGTTGTTTCTTCATGATATGCTTGGGTAATTCACGATACTAAAGGTCGACCCCGAGATGCCAGTTCTGCGAGCCGACAGAAAAGGTTCTAGTCCCTTCCCTTTAAGGCGTCCCCTTTAAGTGAGACTCGCATTCCGCAGCCGGAGCGCAGTTTGCATCGTGCAGCTCTGCAGCCGAGCGGCACTGAAGAAGCTGCAGGATCGCCGAGCCAAGGCAGCTGATGTCGGCAGGCGTTCGTGCAGAGGCTACTGATTATTGCAAAATCTAGACGTGCTTGACACTAATTACCAGGAGGAAGAATCCGTGGCCCTGGAAATATACCGTGCATACCTGTGTGGGACTTTAATGCATGCATATTAGAACTGGTCGTGGTGCCCGGAAAAGATTTCTTACGCTGAGACCTACTGGGATAACAAACTTGGATTCCTTTTGAATGCACAGTAGGAAAGACATGGAATAGAAAAGGGTACAGGAGTTTAATGATCCAGAAAACGGCGGATTTCAGCTAAAACGCGAAGAACTGCTCCAGTTCCCACAACGCAGACTTTAAAATCAAGACCCCTTAAGATGTCTGTCCCAGTAAGTAAGACTTAGATTTCCCAATTAGCCCTTTTATAGGATTAGAGAAGGTAACTACAATGCTTGGCCAGAACATGTTTGAAAGCGGATGTCTGGCCCAGTGTTATGGGTTTCTACTCGTTTTCTGTTATTTATGAATGAACTGGAGTGCAGACAAGTACGCAACTTAACAGTGTGGAGGACCGCGGTGATGTCCAGCTTCGGTACCGCGCTTATGCTCAAATCGGACATCCTCGCGGTTTCAGCGATAAAACCAAATGTCGGGTTCCTGAGAAGCAGCTGGTTTGTGTAGAACCGGTTTTAACACAAAGAGCACATCTCTCTCTATATATACTATTGCTTTCATTATTGCAGTATTCATATTAATAACGATAGCATTGTATTGGGAGTGCAAGAGCGATACGCGGCTTGAGACTTTAATCAGCTACCTTCTTTACACAAGTTTCTGAAATATCTCCCAGCTGCCAGCCAGTCCTTTGATTATTTCCCTATAGTGCAGAATCAGATTTAGTAAATGTTTTTGCCTTACCCTGGATTTATAATCATATCCCATGGCAGTGTGGTTCCCTCACAGCGGACTTGGAACCACAGTCAACATGACACTTCCAGAGCTGCCCTGATGCTGGTAGAACCGAATTGGCCTAGGATGCTGGTGCACCAAAAATGATGGCCCCCATGTATTTTAAAGATCAAGTTACTCTATGTCAGTTAGCTGAACGAGAAGCATGTGTGCACCTGACCAGCGTACGCCTGTATCTCCTGGTATTTCTTTCTTCAGGCTCATATCATGGCTTGCTAGAACAGGCTTTATATTAAGCCTTGATTGTCGGCTCTCCTGGATTTCTCTGTGAAGTTCCAGCACAAAAAAACATAACCAAAGCATTCAGACCAGAGGTTTTGGGATGACCTCACGAATCCCAGATTAGGAACCCCAGACTGGGAAGTTCTGTCTGGGGAACCAGTCTCACCATACGCATGCCACTCTTGACTCGAGCACTAAATTAATACATTTAGGAGACTTTCACAGCAGGTCAGACAGATGAAGGCTTGTCCTTGTGCTTGGGGTAACTGATGCTTCATTCAGTCTTCATTCGGTCTGTGCTTGAATCTCTTACTAGCCCTGGGGGATGTGGCACTTTGCGTAGTTATTTGTGGCAGCTGATTTGAGCGAACAGGGGGGTCTGGTCTCAGGGTCTGTGTCTGTCAGGTTCCTCCTGGATAGGGTGCCACTCCCCCCAGGTTGGAATCCGGCACAGCATCCGCATTTGTGGAGACTGCACATTCTGCCTGTGTGCAAGCAGCAAAACAGTACAGGATGTGACTTGATCGAACAGACTGGTGGGGGAGCCCCAGTTACTGAACTGCTTCAGGAAAAATGGTGTGAAAAGGCAACAGGCAAAATTCTAATGACATGGGTCATGTAAGACTGCTAACGCCCTGTGTCCTTGTCTTGACCCTCCAGTCTCTGTTGGTGCTGATGTCATGCTGGAAGAAGGCCAGCTGGTGATAAGAGACCCTTTGTTTTTTTTTGAGATGAGTTGAATTCATCTGCAAGTCTTTTGTGGATTTGTGGACATGACCAAGTGTGTAGCCATGTACACAAAGACGCACACACACATGCGTAGACAAACGCATGTAAACATCGAAACATAAAAACAAATGTCAGTACACTCTAGCAGAACCATTAGTTCTTCTGTTGATTTTTGATTAGCTGAAATGCTTTTCCTCTCTGCTGATCTCTGCCTCAGGTCTCTGAGACTGCGCTGAACTCTGTTGGAAGGGAGTGCTTTTTCACTTCGCTGATCCTTGCAGCTCTCTGCCTTTGAATTCTGTCTTTCCTGTCTGCTGAACTTTGGCGTTCCACTGCTGATCTCTAATCTCTTAAGCTGTCTCTGATCTTTACTGCACCCTGCTTTTCCGTACCGAATTCAATCTTTCCTGTCTGCTGCTCTCTGTTTCTGAATTGTGCCTCTCCATTCCTGATCTCTGTCTCCAATATCTTTGTTGCCTCTGATCTCTTCTGCTTCCTGTTTTTTTTGCTCTGAATTCTGTCTTTCCTGTGTGCTGCTGTCTGCTTCTGAATTATGTCTGTCCATCTTGAGTATGAGTGTGTGTGTGTGTGTGTGTTTGTGTGTGTGTCCAGACTGTGGTCAATGCAGACCTTGAGCTTTGAGCTTCCCTGGAACTCTTCTGACATTCCAGTGTTCAGTTTTCCGGCTGTTAGGATGCCGCTGTGACTGCTTGCCAGCTCTTCTCCTGGCCGGTACTGGCGGTGCTCATGGAGCATGTGCAGAATGCCCCTGCAAGCTACCGGACACTGCCAGCTCTTGCTTTACCCACAGCCTCTTCTCTCTGGGTTGTTCTGCTTATATCACCATGGCAGCCCAGTTTACTGGTAAAACTAGTTGGGAATTTTGTGGGGCTATTGGAGGAGAGCATGAAATTCAGACTGATCCCTCCACTTCCCAGTGCTGGTGTCAGTTTCCGTTTGCTGTTTTAGACTAGCAGGGATGGCCACACTCCAGGTGAACGGGAGCCCCACTGTGGGGTCTCTGCTGCACAGGGATTGTTGGCTTGAAGTTTGGGGGGGGTCAGATTTCTTTTTTTATTCTGAGTCTGCCATCCTGTGGCTTTGGGATCAGCTTTCAGCTTATCCTGCGTTTACTGTTGAACAGGGAACGGTAGATAATTTTATATCAGGGGTTACTTGGACCCAAAGACCTCTGAGCACCAATGGATCTGCAGCTTCTTAAGCCACAGTGTGCAAAACTCATACAGAATGTTTGTGTTTGTTTGCATGTGAGTGAGTGACTGACAGATCTTAGGCAGGCTTCGAGGGTAGCGGTTCCTCAAACACTCATCATTAAATAGAGGCCTTCCTTGCTAACCCCCCCTCCCCACACCCCCATCTATCAGCTAGGAGATGTCGGGGGAGATGACATCACTGCCACACCATGGTGATGTCACCCTGGATGCTCGCATGTGACAGGCTGTCCTGGAATCCGTCCCACCCTGCCAGGCTGCAGAAAGGCGCTGTGTAAATGAATGAATGAGCTCATCGTAGACACTCCAGTCTGCCCTATTAGCTTGATGGTTCTCCTGCTGTAGATTTCACTCCTGGAGCTGTGCCATTAGATGGCTGCGATCCGTTGCCACGCCCCCAGAGAAGGATTCACTGTACCGACTGGCCGCGGCTGTAGCAGTGTGGAGCATCGGTCCGCAAAAGTGCTCGGAAGCCTCTGAGCCTTCAAGCTGAAATCCCGCATGATGAAATTGTCCGCTGCCTGGTTTTCAGTGTTGGCCAGGAATCAGCATGTTAGTGCATCACAAAGCTCTCTGCAGCTCACTGTCGCCCACAGGTGGCGCTGTAGTTATGACCCGGTCCTATATCAGTGGGTGAAGTTTGAAATGTCACCCACCAGAGTGTCTGCACAGCTAATGCAGGGTAAATTATGCTTTAATTGTCACTATGTCTGTGTCGGTTGGCCCAGGCAGCCAGCACACATCCTCCGGTCACACATGAGGAACCTCGACACAACATCAAGAGGAAGTCTCGGGTCATGCCAAGCCGTTGGCTTGACCTCGCTGCACCTACGCCCGTTTCATTTGCACCATTTTGAGGATTTTATTCCACTGCTACATGTAATGAAAGAGCGCACTGCCTTATTACAGCGACCTCTGGGCGAATCTCATCTGCGGACAACAAAGGCGGCTTTTCTGGAAGCGCTGCTTCAGTGATGCTGCTTCCAGCTTCCTTTTATCCTCTGGAGATCACTTACCACTTGGAAATTGCACAGCAACCCCACCGCCCATTTCATATTCCCCAGCCCCCCCCTCCCCCGCCCCACTCACACACACCCCCTCTTAGAGGACTCTCCACCCTGTTTTCCTGCTTCATGAGTCCCACAGGAATCCTGCTTTGTCCAGCTCTAGAACAAACAACAAGCTTCCCTTGCAAACACACAGATGCCAGATCCTGTTCTCAAACTGCTCAGCTCCTACACTATAGGACTCTTTCCTTTGCCTTCATGCTGCTCCTGAGAAGTGTGTTATTTTTAAGTGACATGCTGTAGGTCCATATAGCACAGAGAAGCCCATACCTACACCATCACTACTTTGTTCCATACGAACCCTGTGCATCTGCTGTGCTCAGAAACGTGACAGACCTTGTGTTCAGCACTGCATGTGGTTCGTAAAAACAATGGCATTTGGTTTATGAGGAACACCTGTGGGCCACAGATGAAACCAAAACACAAAAAGCAAGGCTGGTGATGGGCACGTGTGTGTGCTTCTTACTGCAACCTATTGAGGTAAAATGTGAAGGATTCCAACTACCCAATGGTACTCATTTCCAGATGGGGAACCCAACCACCCAATGGTACTAGTCTCCAGATGTGGAACCCAACCACCCAATGGTACTCGTCTTCAGATGGGGAACCCAACCATTCAGTAGTACTTATCTCCAGATGGGGCACCCAATGGTACTCGTCTCCAGACGGGGAACTCAACCACCCAGTGGTACTCGTCTCCAGACGGGGAACCCAACAACCCAATGGTCCCCAGATGAGACATTACGATCACAGTCTACCAGATGAGAACACCCAGAAGATGACATCACCTACTCTGCCGTACAAACAAATTACCTCAGCAAGTCAGAGTGCAGTTCAGCACCCAGAAGGCTTGTTCACAGCTAAAGCCTGAAAATGAACTGCATTGAGAAAGTGTAGGCTTGTAAACAAACTGTGGGCTCACAGCTTGAGCTCACAGTGTCAGTGGTGTTCCATGGGAGTCTGTTACACGCTAACAGTGTGACCCAGACACCAACATCGCTGGCAGACAGAGGAAGTAATTGTGATTTTCTGTTATGTCCGTGCACTGGACGAACGAGCAGGGAGTCGGGAATCAGGGTTAGGTAGATGGGAATCCAGAAACTGGGGTTTATTGCAGGCAGGGCACAGCAACACAGAGAACACGTCATAACACTTCAATGACCGGACTTGGGTAAACAGACTTGAACGCAGACTTAAGTGCACAGGAGGATCGAACGAGCAGGTCATCTCAGTAATTGATGCACACTGATAGGAGGGAGGGAGGGAGGGACACAGCTATCTCTTTGTTTCTCTGATTAATGCCTGCTGAGTAATTCCCCTTAGCCTTTGTCCAGAACCCCTTTAAGTTTCTCAGCCAATCATTCAGGGGCCCTGTTGGGACTTCAGGGTGCTTATAAACAACAGCATTTCTGGCGTTCATTGAGCACAGTAACCTGTACCTACAAGCCCTACACCTTCAATACCTCCTCCTAGCCCAGGATTTGTGCCTCCGACATCCACCTAGATGGCCCTGCTTAAACCCACCCTATAAATGGAAGTGGTTTCTTCCATCTTGCATTCTTATTGGTAGCTAAGGAAAGGCTGCTTTACATGAAAACAATAGAAATGTATTCATGAGCCGCAGTAGATTATTACTATCAGGGCTCCCACTTCTGCAGTGAAGCACAGCGCATTATAGAACATCGGCACACCTGAAGCACCAAATGAAGTTCGGCTTCATGATCTGGAATAAACATGCTTAGTAACTCCGAACTCAGCGTGCTCAGTGGCTCTGCAGCTCAGGGACTGAACTGGGCATGCTCAGTCTCAGAATGTAGTTTAGGGTTAATATGACCAGGGTACTTTGACTTGGTGTGTGACCGCAGTTGTGAAGCCTGACTTGGCCTGGGAGTAAATGAGCCGTGGTTCTGACCCAGAGACGTGCCTGGACAGCCTCAGAGGGACTGACAGTGCTGGTGCATGCAGCCACATTCTCTGTTCTTCCCTCGTTCCACTGTCTACTAAGGTGAATTCTTTCCATTCTTTTTTTTTTCTTCTGTCTGACTGGAACGGGAGGCTTTGGACCATCTTGTGATGGGGGGGGGGGGGGGAGCTACAGCTCTGCTGGATTATTGGCATCTGATGCACTGCACTCGCCAAAGCTGTGCGAGCTTCTGTGGAAGGTCCCGGAGGCTGCATGCGGCACTTTGGCGTGCGGCGTGCCCCTCGGACGTGAGGCATCCCGGTTATGTGTGTCTGATAGCAGGCCCTCTTCCATTCAGTGGATGCCACAGCTTATTTTAAGCCCCAGATCCTACCGCTCACACTAGCCTAAGTACTGTCACTATTCGGAGCCAGGAGGCGTCCGAAGGCTACAGCAGGAAAGACCTTTTCCGAGCTTGTAACACGCAGCTGTGTCCTGAAGGCTATCGCTATGCTTAGCTTAGCATCATCTCCATGGGTGTCGGGTTTCCAGAGCAGAGAGCCTTTGGTGGAGAAGGTCCAGTGACACTGACACGTCTGCCTGTGTCTGTCACAGCTTGCTATCAGGTAACACGCCTGCCAAGAGCCAAGGCAGGGATCAAACGGGAAGAGCACTTTCCGGTAGTATATGGCATTCTCAGCATACGGAACATTACACCAGGATTATATGGCTGGTTATATCTAGCGGTGTGGGGAGAGGTGATTGAGTCTAAGCGGCATAGATGCATCTGAAGTTTGGGGTGGAAAATACTGTGTGGGTCTGTGGTTGGGGAATCCCGCCAATGACGGATGAGGATATGAGAGGTGAATGCTCTGGAATTGCAAAAAGATGGTCAGGTGGTGCCTGGAGTATCTGTCAACCCATCTGCCCCTTCTGGCCAACAGTGGTACTGCAGTGTTTGCATATTACAGCTGGAACACTCCACTGGTTAGTATCTGTGCGTTGATGTGCATTTACTTCAAGCGATTTATGAAAACATCATTCATCTATTATATCTTTATTCAATGCTGTCATTTGAATTGACTTAATCTGTGTGCTCTGTATAGTTCATCTTAATCACCCTGTAACTCTATCTCCATGGATCTCAGCCAAGGGGTGTGGTTCCCTCTCTTGCTTATGCCGATTGGTGCTCTCTTATTTTGCTGTCGTGACTGCACACACGTGATTGGCAGCCTAGAGACGCTGTCTCCCAGCCGATTGGTTGGGAGTGGTTTGTTGATCAGAAATGAAGATGTTGAAGTAATGCTTCCGTACCAAGTCATTATATACGCAAGTGTTCTGGATTACAGGGGCATGAGCTGTGATTGTGGTTGTTACTATGTTTGGTGTAGGTTACAGATTTTTTCCAGTTAACTAGATCCTCTTAAAGGAAAAGAATCTAATCCTAGACTTTGTCTTCTGAACCCCCACAGGACTCGATGTTTAAGGATGAAGAAAATTCTCATGAATGTGTTTGGGAGACCATATGTTAGTTTCTGTGTTTATACAGTGAATACTATGTGACTATGTGTTAGTGTATATTCCCCATATGTGAATTGAGTGTGTATGTACACTCCTGGGTAAAAAAAATGGGCCAAAGTTGATTTTTTTGCGGTTTGGGTTTGGCCCATTTCTTTGGACAGGAGTGTATACTGCATATCTGCAGTAAGTTGGTAAGACTCTTACATATGCTGCATGCGCATTGTTTATGTGAATTATGCAGTCAATCAAACAGGGACCTACCATGCAACTCTATCTCCAGCTCGGAGGTTGCTTGATACCTGACTGACTCCAGAAGAAACTTGGATGGTCTGGATTTGTGTTCCTGTCCAGGCTGAGCTTCAGCATGCAGTGCCCATTTTGTGGTGGGTGGGTCCAGGAGCAGGCAGCCAGGAGGTCCTCCCTAACTAACCTTTGGAGGAGAACTATTCACAGGTGGAGGACTTTTGTGTAAACAAGAGTTGGTTTCACAACCGACCTCTACCTGGCTCTCTTTCTGTCGCACCCTTGGCCACACTGGCTCCTCTGAGGGAGGAAAAGCACTAGCAGAGGTCGTGTGTGGCTCAGGTGTGGTTCGTTCCTGCTGGAATTCTCCTTCTCACCTGCCTCGTCTCACCCACGCAGGTGTTCTGTAGAATGTTCGACTGCTTGCAGGGAGCCTTGTCAGAGGTAGGTCAGGTGACAGGCATGGTTTTGTGAGCATGCTAACTGACCTCCGACCTGCACAGGAGCTGAGTTGGGCTTGTGACAGAGCCAGTTCCTGACCAGGGCTGCTCACAGCATTGTGGTGCATGGGGCTTGACCATGTTTCCATAACTGTAATTAATCCATTTGTGTATAATGTTGTACAGTATGTAACAGTGTATGTGTTTGTGTTTATTTACCTATGTGTGCTCTCAACAAAATTAACCTAACAGGAAGTGTCATACTGCAGTAACAACCCCCCCCCCAATTTGTACATAATTGTTAGTGGCCAGGCTAGGAATGAGCTTTGAAATTATGGGCTGGCTCGTTAATCCAACGGTGTTGCTTTGGCTGTGTGGATTGAAGGGTTCTTCCATGGGAGTATGTGTGTATTTCTCTGTATTGCATTGTCAGATGTTTTATAAATGTCTGCACATGGTCTAGGACAGTGTTTCCCAATCCAGTCCTCGGTGACCCACAGTCGGTCCATGATTTTGTTCCCTACCAGACAGTCCACATTTTGGCTCCCTCCTAGCTGAACAAAAACGTGGACTGTCTGTGGGTCCCCGAGCACCAGATTGGGAAACATTGGTCTAGGAATTATCACATGTTTTGTAGGTGTTTAGTACTGTCAGTGTGAGCGAAGCAAGTCCAGCAGGGCCGTCAGCGGAGCTGGCCAGTGCGTGTGGATGCTGCCGCAGCTCCGTTGTGAGGACGGCCTCTCCAGCAGAGCACTTTCTTGGCTTCAACGATTCCGAGTTGCAGGATTCTGTCGTTAATCCGTTTAACGACGTGTCATTACCGAAAGCTTCCAGCTGGTAGCCACATGGCTCTCGCTCTAGACAGTATCTCAGACATCTCTGGGGTCAAAGGTCACACACTGCTTGTGTTGTTCCTCCACTAACCAGCTGTGCTGATAGAGTCACAGCACCGTGAGCGACACACATGCACGAAAGCGGACAATGCAGCTGCTTTTAGGGCGTGAACCCAGAGGTTCCGTCTGCTTGGATACCACCGCACTGACCCCAGGAAGCACAGCCAAACTCCCAGCCTCCTGGCCGATCCGGCTGCCGTCCCCAGCTGATCCAAAGAGGCGAATGATTGGTCCTTCTGGGGCAGCAAATTACGTTAATGGTCAAACAGATCTGAAAAATGAAAAGTGAAATCCTTTAAAAAGATCTGAAGTGTTCACTCAGAGACCAGACAGGTGGGACATTTGATTTCTTATATGGTTTAGAGAGCTGTGGGTCTCTCTCAAAGTCACCATCACACCAAAATTGTTTGGAAATAAGATTTGACTCCTACTCGTCCTGGTAGTCAGCCCTGTGCCCCTTCCCTGTGTGCCCCCCCGCAGTCCTCTTGGACACAGTCCCCCATAGTCTCCCCCTCCCCTTTCTCTCACATGGAATATTCCATTAGCTTCTCCCACCAGTAATACTAATCATTTTATTACAGAGGTACACAGAGGAGAATCGCTCTGGGAAGCAGATTCGCTGAGGATGAAACCTCATTGCGAAGCAAACTTTAATTAAAACGTGGGGCTGCTTTGTGCTCTTCAATAGCTCTCAGTCATCTCAGGGTATTTCCGGAGCTTTCTGAAAACAATTGATGTATTCTGCCAGTAATCAAACAGACGGCGTCTAGAGAAAGGAGCCACGAGGCTGCTCAGATTAATCCAGTTCGCACAGAAGCGCTGGATTCTGGCGTATTTTGGAACGGGTGAGAATGGGTGTCCGTCCCGGGAGTCAGTGAGGGTGATCGATACAGCTGATCAGAAACATCATTCATCTCTCTTTTGTGTGAAAACCTGCCGATCTGTTTTCTCCGCTGTGAAGCATCTCAGTGTGCAGATTCCTCTTGGGTGGGGGACATTGGAGTTACACACACCTGTGCTTTTAAAATATATTTTTATTTTCTGCCTTCCCCCAGCCCTCAGTTTCGAGGGAGGGTCTTAACTGACTGCTAGGCAACTAGATAGAGATTGTGCTCATTCAGGTATTATAGGGTTAGAGTGCGTGTGTGTGTGTGTGTGTGTGTGTGTGTGTGTGTGTATTAGCTTGGCTTTACCCTCAAACAGTGAAGATAGAACAAATCAGGGTCACTCTTTTCAGGCTCTTACATTAACAACTGGGAGTACTGGTTGTATGAGGTCTGCTGGTCTTTTAACTGTCTTTCCATGGCCTGAGTATAAAGAAGATTCTCATCATTTTATTGCTTTACACTGGATTTTACATACATTTCCTAATATTAATTCACCTCTGTACACAGATGTCCTAACCTTGACCAGTTTTTTTGCCTCTTTAAAATGAAACATACAGCTGGTGAATAATGTTCTTCTTGTAACATTGGCAGGGAATAGCCCAGACAGGCATCCAGTAAGTGAATTCTGTTCTGCTTCTGTTAACCCATAAACCTGTTTCTGGGGTAACCAAGTTGTCTCTGTGACACATTAGGGATGGGGGGGGGGGGGCTTTCAGTCAGTGCCCTGAACAGGGGGGCGTTCATCTCCTCTTCCATAAGCCGCTTGGCTGGGATGGGACAGCAGTAGCATTCTAGGTAATTTATGCATCTCAAAGAAACAAATTTCTATGCACTGACTTGTTTATTGGAATGAAAACCCTTTATCTTTTATGTCTGTATCTGTTCTTTTTTTGGTTAACAGCATTTTTAAGCGTAATTTTGGTGGAGGGCTGATATAAAGTTTGGGAAGAACAGAAAGAAGCAGTTAGGATTAGCGTGTGTTTTTGTAATGGTGTAAGTGTGTGACCCAGTAGAGACACGCTCCACATTCCACATGGACTTGGAAAGGGGCGTGGTTATGCCTCATTTGCATATGAAGTGGTCTTGTGGCCAATCGGTAGCCAGAAATAGACCCTGAGCTTCGGAGGTGTAAGGTTACAGCACGTTCGAACGTCCCCCTAGACGAGGAGGTTGGACGAGTGAGTGCAAGGGAATGAAGGAACGGGAATGGGGCGGAGGGAGGGGGGAAAAGCTGGAAGTGGTGAGGTGTGAAGGCAGTGGGACATTCTCATTCTCATTCTTGCCCAGTGAGATCACGCAACTGGAGAATGCATTAGGATTTGCTGAAGACTCCTCCTCCGAGTCCAGAGGGATCTTCTCTTCCAGGTGCCCCGATCGGGGGCCTTTCGTTCCAGGCTGAATCTGGGCTGTTGATTCATCGGGACTGACACACACACGAGAGCGCTGAAAATGAACGAGCTGGTGAGTGTGCACGGGGCCTTTTTCTCCCCTAAACACCTCCACTGAGAGGGGAGCGGGAGAGAAGGTAGGAGATGCCTACGGGAGAGGAGAACTGGAGGGCTGGGCAGGGACGGAGCCTTTTCCTGTTTTTCCATCGGGGATACTTTTGGTCAGCAGGAGTTTACGTGCCAATTTCAGGATGTATGTGCCACCGTTTGAGAAGACGTAGATGTTCATGAAATTCTCTGGAGTTAAGATGCCGTCAAACATAGTGGTAAAGGAACCACAAGACGAGTAAAACACAAAACACTTGGCCGTGAAGCAGACTGAGGAAACGAGAGTGAGAGAGAGCGAGAGAGAGAGAGAGAGAGAGAGCGAGCTAGCTCGGTCTCCTCAGAAAGTTAAAGGGGCTACCAGGCACTAAGAACAGGGAGGCTTCTGAGGAATGATGTGTGGACTATGGTCATTGAAATATGATAGATTTATCTGCAAGGGTCAAGGGGGACAAACCCAGAAGCTGGGGCTTTGGCACATTTCAGCACGTCTCCATGGCTGTGACATCACGTATGAGACGAGTCTCACACACACACAGCAGCTTCGGCTGAGACTCCTGCAGGGATGGCCATGTGAATTGTGTGGTTTGGAAGAGTGACTGGAAAGTTACTGTGGTGTGTATCGCAGCGTGGTTAGAAATCATCTGAAGACATAATGAAGTCCTCTAAGGTTCTGTTAATGTTTTGAACGTATGGACACTAACCTATTGAATGATCTACAGAACGGTTACATGATTAGTAAAAAGGCTAATGATGTGGACAAGCGACGATTACCCAGAAGTCATAGTGAGGTCGTTTAGATGTTCTGATTTGAATCTTTACACACTCTGCGAGTTGTTCAGGCTCTCATCACTCTTGAAGGTCTGGTCATGGTCTTAAAGTTTCTTAACAAGAGCATTCCTATGCTGTGAAACTCCACTTTAAAATGACATCGCCCCAGAAGCTTGCTGTGGTTTCTGATCTACGGCTTTAGGAACTGCTTAAACTGGATATGAGGTGAATAAAAATAAAATTGTGGATTGAAACCAGATTAAATATGAAGACGGAAATTGATGTGGATTTCCCTTTAATTCTGACTGGGAGCTGACTCACTGCTCCAGAGTTTTCTAGCTTAGCTTCTTTTTATGGAATGTCTCTTAGCTGGGAACATGGGGGGCACGTGGATGTGTGAGAGCCCCCGCCCCCCCCCACCTTGGCAGACAACCACATCTTCAGCAGAGTGAGAATGCCTTCCTGGTGATTTGCTTAGATTGTTTCTGTGATGGGGATGTCCCTATCAGTGGGGCAGGGGTTTTGAACAGCTCACTCAGGAGGCCTCATGGGATGGGATGGGATGGGGGGTCTATTGGGCAGTGAATATTCCACCAGCCTGAGCCACCTCTGAGTCATCGGGGACTAACAGTCCTGGGTTGGATTTTGCTTTCCTTCGACCCCCGTAGATCTTGAGTTTCCCACAGGATACTGTCTCTTGGGGGGGGGGGGGCAGCGTATTTACCACCAAGCCAACCCCGACCCTAACCCTAATCTTATCTGGGCCAGCTATGTGATTCTGATAATGTGTCAGGCAGTTTGAAAAAACAGTGGATGACACAAATGAAGAGGCGAGTTGTAGTTCAGGTGACACACAAAGGTGTGTTGTGGGTCAGGTGACACACAAAGGTGTGTTGTGGGTCAGGTGACACACAAAGGTGTGTTGTGGGTCAGGTGACACACAAAGCTGTGTTGTGGGTCAGGTGACATGCACAGGCGAGGTACTGGACAGGTGCAGGACACAGGACTTACCCCAGACTCTCCCGTTTGTCCCCCACTGCTCCTGCATGAGGCCACACTTATAGTACCACCATGGACGTGACATTAAAGGGGAACATCTCACTTCATCTCTCCCCTCGTCTGCTGCTCCTCAGGCTTTGAACCCGATTAACAGAAACTGGTAACATAAGAAAGGGGTCTTTTGCATTACAGTTATAAGGCTGTGACTGAACCCAGAGGGAGCAGGGAGACCCTCTGTCGCCTGGGTGATCTGTGTGTGTGTGTCTGTGTGTGTGTGTGTGTGTATTATGGTAGTAGCTGCTGACAGGCTTTGTTGAGTTTCGGTGACATACACTTGTGGAAGAGATGAGGGGATTCTCGGGAAATATGGCTGGAGTGGGGAAATGTGCACATTTCAAGCAGTTTATGACTGCGCAGTCTGTGCAAAGCACGTTCGTATCTGCGCAGTCAGGCAGCCACGTAGTTTCCGTCTCAGTGGGGTTCCGTCCGCCAGACCTTCCAGAAACCCATTTGCCATGGTGCCTTGCTCAGCTGCTGGCTTCAGCACGCCTCTGAGCCGCTGGAATGTTTCTCTGAGGTTTATGGTGAGGTTTTTTTTAACATCACACACAAAGTAAACATATTCCCCTTGTAATTTTTGTTCGATTTTCTGTCAGATCCAGTCCAAGGTCTGTACTTGTCGAGATCGGGGGCGGGGCCACAGTTTGGGGACGTGTGCTGCAGCCCGAAGCTGCAGGTGAAGCCTGACTTTGCTCAGGATCGGAGGCGTGGTCTGAGGGCACACCGCCCTGGCGCTTTGCCGTCGCCTGCGGCTACACATTTCAGGCTGCTTCTCCCCACTGCGGAGACATGCCCGGCCTGACTGGCCTGTACAGGCTTGAGAGAGGTTCAATGCAGCCCCAGGCATTTTCTTTGACCGCTGAACCCTGAAGAGCCCTCTTTGACATGGGGTACCGGGTTTTTTACACACACACTGGCCTGCTACACAGTTCTAATTATGTTACAGTAGCGCTCTGCTAACGTTCTGAGCTGTGTTCACACAGACGCCTGAGCTGGAGTGCCCCTGCATCTGGCTCAGCCTGACCCCTGTGTATAGGGGTTAGCAAAATCTGTGTAGAGATAGCCCAGTGCTGCCTGCATACAGGTAAACATTTTTCTAGCTGGGTCATTCCCAGTCTGTACTGGTTCAGCGACTGGGCCTGAGCACTGAGCAGTGCGTTTTTGGTATATATCAAGGTGTGTAGTGGTCATACGTGAGGAATGTTTTTGTACCTTGTGCAGAAAACAGTTCTGAGAAAATAGGTATGTAGCAATACCTGCGGATTGTTCTGGTGACTGAGCTGCTGAGCGCTGGCAGTCAGGCCTGGACTTGCCAGGACTGGGCTGGAGCGTACCAACGAGGGACTGTGGGGGTGACAAGACATACCAAGCCTCTGGATGGGAGATGTGACATCATACAAGGCATAAGGAGGGACGGAGCATTCCAAGGAATGGGGGAGGTGTATGTGCCCTGGGGGGATGTTTTTCAGTAATAACATGATACATTCACTCTCTGCCTTATTAATACACAAATACATGTGCTTCATCCTTCAGGTCGTCCACACATTGATGTTTAGGACGTTTAGGCAGTGAGCCTACCCCCCCCCCCCCCCCTGTTCAACTTAGATGTTGCTTTTTTCTCCTCCACTCCTCTAGACAGAGGCATCAGGAAATGTGTGAGAATATCTGTGTGTCTGTGAGTGAATGATGAGGTTTCCCAACCTGGCAGTCCACCATGCCTGTGACTCTGATCAGACTTGCGATATCAGCATCAAAACGCCAAACAAACATTTTAGCCTGAAAGATGAAGTTGTTATGGGACAGCAGAAGCCAAGGTTCAGTAGGAAATGCTCACTGTGCTGTGATGATTCAAGGGACTAATTAGCAAAACACTGAGCAAAATCATGGAGTTAAGATGCCCCCATAATTAGCCTGCTGCTGAGCATCATCCCAACGCTGGGCTCCTGAGCAGAGCCCTCTTCTGGCAGAGTTGAGGGATTGCAGGCAGGAGGCCGAGAAGCGAGTAGGGGCCAGAATCTGAGCTGTTAATGTTAATGATTCTTTTTTTTTTTTTTTTTCTGACTTTGTGTGTCAGGGTGTGGGACTCCGTGTGTGTGTGTGTGTGTGTGTGTGGCTGTGTGTGTCAGGGTGTGGGACTCTGTGTGTGTGTGTGTGTGCGTGTGTCTGACTGGAGTGTGGGACTCTGTGTGTGTCAGGGTGTCCTCTAAAAGGCCGATGACTGTAACCCCCCCCCCTCCCAAGCCCTGCATCATATCCATCTCTCTTTGGCTCAGGATGAGGGGGTGCAGACTATACAGTTACACAGCCACCCCCATTCCCGGGAGCAGACATTACAATGACATCATTGCTGTGGGCCTCAGACGACTGCCTTGAGAGCCCCCCCTCACCCCCGTGGCGCCTCCCCCACTCAGTCCGTTTCATCATTTCCCTCCAAAGTCATGTTGTACGTCTTCTGTTCTTTGGTTCTTTGTATTATTGTTGCCTGACAAAGGTTTCATTTTAATTGGTGTTATACAGGGATGCTGCATTTTTCCTTGTTTTATGTGTGACATTAACATGACGTGAAGGTTCCGTTCCCATTTCAAGCTAAACTCTTCCCACCCGCATTCACCCAGTATGGCCATGTGTGTGCGTGTTTGCCTTACAGTGAGTTCCACTGGGGTGACGTGGACATCAGCAAACGTTTGTTCCTTGGCTGGCAGTTGGGGCTGAATGGGAATAATTTTCTGAGAGCTTCCTGGAAAGATCAGGAGGGGCGCTGCCTGAGGGTCAGGGCAGAGCAGAGGAAGTTGGGTGGATCCGTGGAGGAGATGCATCCTGAATGATGTCAGGCCTGAGTGGAGAGTGTGATGTCACAGATGAGGGGTTTCAGCACGGTTGCTGTTTAACAAGTGCTAAAGTACCACAGAAATGTGTCAGTCTGATGTTTTCTCAATGCGTGCATGGTGGTATCACCCAGGTGTCCGATGACAGACGCCTCCATCCCTGCTGAGTGTTTCATGGCTCAGACAATGACTGGGGTCTGCCATGCATGTGATTTGGAAACAGCAGCTGAACAGCACCGTGCCACTTGGCAGTAAGTGTTTAGAAGGAGCGAGGCTGGTGATCCGACGCAAGGCGGGGAGCATGTGGGGCTATATCCAACTGGAGCAACAGGACAGGCTCCCTGCGATGGGTGTAAGACACAAAACAGTGGGAATTGGTCTGTGGTGATGGGGCAGGATTTAGTTTGCCCTGATGGGGCAGGAATTAGTCTACAGTGATGGGGTAGGATTTGGTCTGAGGCAGGAATTGGTCTGTGATAATGGAGATGTGTGTGTGATGTAATATTGTTTGTTGGTTCTAAAGAGGGGTCTCATTCACATCGAGAAGAATTATGAAATGTTTTCCTACTCTCTATCGCCCCCTGCAGAATATCCTGGCCAAGGCCCTCTACGATAATTCGGCAGAGTCCCCGGATGAGCTCTCCTTCCGCAAGGGCGACATCCTCACTGTGCTGGAGCGCAACACGCAGGGGTTGGATGGCTGGTGGTTCTGCTCACTGCATGGACGCCAGGGCATTGTGCCTGGCAACCGCCTCAAGGTTCTGGTGGGCATGTACGACAAGCAGCAGCAGTCCCCGCCCACTGTGAGCCCAAACCAGCTGCCCATCCCCCACAATGCCTTCAGCAAGCCCCACCCATCATCCCAGTACACAGCTATGCACCCTGTCCCCTGCACTCCAAGCACAGCTTCCGTCTCCACCCCACAGGACAACGTCTACATGCTACCACCCAGCCACAGCAAGTCTGCCTCACAAGGCCTGTATCAGGGTCCCACCTCTGGACAGGACATCTACCAGGTGCCACAGATCTCCAGGAGCTCCCCGCAAGATGTCTACCAGGTGCCCATGAGTGTAGGGGGACCGGGTCTGACTCAGGATGTCTACCAGGTACCCTCCTACATGAATCTGACTCAGGACATTTACCAGATACCCTCCACCATTGAGAGCAGGACCTGGAATTTACCAATTCCTCCAGGAAAGGTAAGGAAGGTCCACAGTTGACTGACTAAGCGCAAACGGTATATCATTCCCAAACTCATAAAAGCTCCTTATACTGGTATTGAGCCTGAATGCACACTGTCCCTCGGGCTGTTATGTGTCACTGTTCTTGTCAGATATCTGCCTTTATAGTCACTTTGGCAAGTGTCCTACATTACCCACAAACCTGTGCAAGCAAAATGACACCTATGACTGGAGACAAATGCTGCGTTCCATTCACCTCGGAGGTTGGAAGTCAGAACCCGTAATGAAGTTCCATCTGAAATAACCACGTTCCGGTATAACAAGTTGGAAAACCATTTAGCAATACCATTTCTAGCAAGGTTCATTGATAGCCATTGTTAGCAATACCAGTTGATAACGACGTATTACTAGGTATTTTGCACATACAAACACCACAGCAACATGTCTACAGAGAGCAATTGGACAGCACTGTGCATTCGACCGTTTTAATGAGCCACAGATAAGACATAAGTGTTAATAAACAGTGTACGGTGGTACCTCAGAACTCTAATTTAATCCATTCAGAACTTCGGAGTGAATCCTAAAAAGTTCGAGTTGTGATCGAATTTTCCCCATAAGAAATAATGGAAAACCAATTAATTGGTTCCCGGCCCCAAAAAATGACACCTAAATATGTTTTTTTAGCATTTAAACACAAAATGAACCGATAAAACACGAAGAGCATATACTGTACTAAACACATCTAAGCACATTTATCAAAACAGTAATTTGTAAAGTAAGAAAATAAATGTATCCAAACAATGTGTCCTGCCCCGATCGTCCGCTCCTTCCGTGTGCCACGCCCCCTAGTTAACTCCGTGTGGAATCCCCGTGTGATCAGCTGTTGCTGGTTGTTGTCATTAGTCCTCTGTATTTCGTCCATGTTTCAGTTTGTTTCCCCAGTCCGGTTATTGTATTCTCCGTCTGCGTTTTGCCTGCCTTACCTGTAATTAAACCCCGTATTCCCCGATACCCTGACGTCTGCCCCTTTGTCTCTGTTCTGTCCCAGCTCGGACAACAATATTATTATAATTAAACGTATTAATGGTTTATTATTAATATTAAAATAATGAATAAGACATTTTTATTTTTAAATGTATTTTATTATATAATCATAATTACTGCTACTATCATTGTCTAAATGTATTTTTACTGTCTAAATATATGTATTCAGCTAGTGTAAACATGCAGGATGCTATCACAGCGAATTACAGGCTGAGACTGAAGCTTTACCCTTTATTTCTGCTGAGACGTGCCGCGTGACTCATTTCCCGCATGTACAAGTTATCTTTAGGTCGGCGTTCACGGTTTGACATTTCTGAGATTCAGACCGAGCTGTAGATAATTTTTTTTCGAACTGGTTGGTTCGACTTTTAAGAAATTCGAGTTCTAATGAGTTCGAGAACTGAGGTACCACTGTATAACTATAGCTTTCACTTTTGTTGATGAAGCGTGCAGCCATCTTGAATTCTTAGGTTGGGGTTGCAGCGGTATCTCTGACTTTCCGAGTTGGTACTCTGAATTCGGGGGGGGGGGGGAATCGTTCCAATTGAAATTTCCAACTAGGAACTCTGAAATTCTGACTTCTAAGTTCAAATGGAATGCACCAAAAGTTAGCTCTGGAGGTGCTGGCTGAAGCACATTGAAATTCACCCCATCAGCCTCTAAACACCATTTAGTTTTGCTGTGATTCTGGCAGAGATACCAGTGCAGGGATGAACGGTGAGGCAGCAATGTCCAGTCAGCTTGAAATTATTGATGGTTATTCATGTTTTATTCATGAAACTATCGAATTTTCCCCACAGCCCAGTGTCCATTAATGTCGTTGGCTGGGCATTTATGGTTTTACCGTGAGTCAAAGGTCAATTTCAGGATTCAGGCAAATGCGCCCAGTCGTTAACATACACAACATGTTTTCTTTTATATGTACATTTATCGATTTACTTCAGTGTGCTGACTTTGGATAGACCAATAAGGAAACTGCTTGCAAGCTGATGCCCCCTGCTGGCCGTCCTCATGGATGGGTGCCCTGGCTATGCCTTTGAAGATCAGCAAGGGAGGCCCTACTCTTTGCTCACCATGCCAAGCCTGCAGGGCAAGCAGCTGGCGACCGACCTGTGGTCACTCCACTGACCTCGTATCAAAGAGGGGGGCGAGCACGCGGGCTCCTGGGTACAGACACCGCCCATGACTCACCACCGCAGCAGGCCTGCCGTCCTATTCTTGTTTCGACTGAGTATACACAAAGCTGGCTAATTCTCCCCTGAAATTCAGTTTAAACATGTTCATGGATTCAACATCAAATCCACTCCTGGGACCTGCACCAATAGGCTGTGTCATTAAGAAGAACTCTGCCTGCTCATTTCTGTAAGCAAATGGTTGGAAACAGACACACCAACTCGCATTCTGGTATTATGGGGTTATGGTGATATCCTGAAGGCTGGTAATATAGAGTCTGGGTTATCCCCTGCACGCTGATAATACAGGGTTTGGGTTGTACCCTGCATGCTGTTATTACAGGGTTAGCGTTATATCCTGAAAGCTGGTTATACAGTGTTTCGGTTAAAAACCTTCTTCAACCTATCATGGTGACCCAAACGTCAAACTTCCCATCACAGAAAGCTATGACATGATTCTTATCCAGATTTACTCTAGTAAAAAAACAGGTAATGTGTAAAAAAAAAAAACTGTCAGTCTCTTTGGGTGAATAGTGTTTGGGTAACACCAGAAAAGCGGTGTGAAGAAGCTGGCGAGAAGCCCAGACCCGTGTTTGTGTGTTTGGGGAGCGGTGAGCAGAGGTGAGAGGTGGCCGTCAGCAGCCGGTGCGAGCAGGTCAGTACAGGCTCAAATCCCGCTGCACCAAGGCTCAGGGATGTTTGGCGGCTGGTTGGTGTGGGAGGGGCCGCCACACGAGGGCTCTACCCTGTCATTACCTCCATCAGGGCCACCATCAGCAGGCCACAAAGAGCCACCTGCATCCTGGGGTCTATCTACAGACCGCTGACATCAAAAAGGCACGGATTTAACAGTTCTGGGAACTCCAAGCAGTTTGGATCAAGGCGGATGTCCTGTTCCCAGTCTGCACTCTGCTGCAACTTCAGAAACTATTATAAATTATAAATTATGTCAGGAATACAGTGTTATACAAGAAATTGATTAACTTTAATATGATGACAACCAGTGGTACCTGATTTGAATTGTAGAAGATTGCCATTGTATCATTGGGTGAAGTTCCTAAGATGATTTTCCACATGAAAATATCCATTTTGTGTAAATAAGTTAACATTCTAAAAAGTGTCTCCTGAGTAATAAATTATAGAATCGTTGGGCTCGCCGGCTGTCTGTGGACGGAGCAGCTCATTCCTCCTGACACACACACAGTACCATCTGCAGGGCAGTGAATCTGTTCTGTTAGCTTGGCTACACTAATTGTGGCTGACTGATAAGTGTGGGCCGTTCAGCGTTGCTATGAAAACTCCACACCCCCTGGACTCTGACATGCCCTGTGTGAGTTCTCCTGGCATACAAATACCCCCTTCTGTCCTGACACCCCCAGCGGGCCGCGGCCATTGCTGGTGCCGCCGTTGCCCTGGGAGATGAGGCCTCCCACTGCTGGTTGGAGCTGAAATAATTAAGATTGCAGCAGAATTTAATTAGCGGCACAGTCTAGGTGACGGTGACATTTTTAGAAGCTTGTCTGCAGCTGTCGTTCTCAGTTTGCAGCCCCCTGACCCGAAAGACCCCCCAGCATTGAGCCAGCAGGCTGAACACTTGTGCCTTCACAACATTTTTGGCTGGCAGTCCAGGTTTGGCTGCCAGCTCACTGCGCAGAATTAGCTGCAGACTGCACAGACTCCATACAATAGAGCATAACACATCTGCTGTGTGTGTGTGTGTGTGTGTGGAGGGGGGTTTGTGTGTGTGACCTGAATCTGCATTAAGAAGAGAGCACAGTCATAAAGTTGCAAGAATCTGTATCTTTATCCTAAAAGGAGATCCAATCAGACTTACTGATTCATATTTATGGTATTTTCGTACACCTTTCTGATTCGTTGCTTGATGGGACTGCAACTTCTTAAGCATAGACAGTGGGGCGAAGGGCAGATAGACCACCAGGAGTTTGCTACATAGATCAGGGCTGCTGATTATTGGTTGCCTTATGTGAAGCAACTCCAATTTGTATGTTCATAGTGGTGATGTGACTGTGTCTTGAGAAAAATCATTGCACATTATTTTCCTTACCTTTCATTTACTCATTTCATTCCGTTTCTGAGATGCAACCTGTAAGCATAACCCAGCAATCTGGCCAGACGATACTCAAAAAATTAGGAGAAATGCCAAGAAGATCTAAAAACTCTGTCAGAGCATCTACTGAGATGAGTGTTAGACTAATACCATTCCAAAATGCTCAGCACTACATTGAGTAGGTTTATCCATACAGTGCTGCAACAAAGAAACCTTGTAGGATGATGCCTAACATCAGACAGGTTACCTGATGGAACAACATGTAGTTCTGATGAATGGTGAAGTCTCTGGTAGGCGTCCCCTTTGCTTCCCTCTGCTGGGCACCCTGGGGTACTGCACCGGGTGGGCGGTTTTCAGGGATACAGAATTTCTCCCTATCACAGTCCAAATGAGCACCTTTATAGGAATGGCAGCTCATGATGTCCCTAAGATGATTTGAAGATATGTGACCCTCACTAGAAGGCCCTGGTTTCTGGGATGTTCTCTTCAGATGCAGGACAGCAGGATGCAACCCCACAAGGGAACCAGCAGAAACAGATAACACAGGGCTAAGCAGTGTTAAAGAGCAGCAAACCAAAAGCACCAGTTTGTCACACAGCTCCCCAGTTCAACACTTGTTCTCCCTGAATTCTCCCAACTGCCTGTATTTCAACAAAATCCTGGTTTGCATTTATATTTTCTGAACATGATCTATCCACCTCTGAATATGACCGGCTGCAGGAGCATGGTGCACAGACACTGAGCACCCTGGTGTGCAGACACTGGGCGCCCTGGTGCACAGACACTGAATGCCCTGATGCGCAGACACTGAGCCCCCTGCTGCGCAGACACTTGGCGCCCTGAGGCACAGACACTTGGCGCCCTGAGGCACAGACACTGGGCGCCCTGATGCACAGACACTGAAAGCCTTGATGCGTAGACACTGAGTGCTCTGGTATGCAGACACTTGCCGCCCTGAGGCGCAGATACTGAATGCCCTGATGCGCAGACACTGAGCCCCCTGCTGCGCAGACACTTGGCGCCCTGAGGCACAGACACTGAGCGCCCTGGTGCGCAGACACTGAATGCCCTGATGCGCAGACACTGAGCATCCTGTCTGATCTCTGCTTGCCTCCTTAGGTGGTGGTCCCCACACGGGTGGGAGAAGTCTACGTGTATGACACGGGGAAGGTGGAGCAGGATGAGTATGATGTTCCACGGCACTTGTCCACATCCCGTGACATCTACGACGTGCCACCAACACGGAATCAGCAACAGCAGCAGGTAGGGATGAACAGTTCAGTCCTCTTACCTGGTCAGTGATGTCCTACTGTATGTGCATGTATACCTATGTGTTACTACATGAATATTGACTGATCCTCTCCACTGACCTGTTACTCTGATCCCTCCACTGATCCATTATGCTGATCCTCTCCACCAACTTGTTACACTGATCCTCTCTAGCAATCCATTACACCGATTCTCTCCACTGATCCTTAATGCTGATCTTCTCCACCAATCCACTACGCTGATCTCCTCCACTGATCCTCTCCACTTATGCTTTACACTGATGCTCATCACTAATACTTTATGCTGATCCTCTCCACCGGTTGGTTACACTGATCCTCTTGACCAGTTCACACTTTTCTTCTCCACCTATCAATCAGACTGCATCTCTTGGTGTTAGTTGATGTAGGACTTACACAAGGTATAAAGTAATTAAATTGTATAAAAGCAATCACTTATTTAAATTGATTCATACAACCTATTGTCTAAATGCTCTCTCATATCTCAGGTATATGACACCCCCCCCATGGCAGTGAAAGGTCCCCCCAGGTGGGATAGCAGCCAGGACACCTATGACACACCCCCTAGTGTGGACAAGAGCCACTTGCTCTCCCAAAAAACGGTGTGAACCCAACTACACATACACCAATTTGTTACATGCAACTATTGGCTAAATGTGCAACTACACACCGCACTTTATGCAACAGGACACTTCACCACAGAACAGAATCTGATGGAGTCTGATGTCCCAACAGGTGTATGATATCCCTCCTACTGTCAGCAAAGATGTCTCTGAAGGCCCCGACAGTGAGGAAACTTATGATGTACCGCCCAACTTTGCCAAAGTCAAGAAGGACCTAGAGGACAAGCTGGCCTTGTCTCAGAGTCCTAGAGCAGATGCTGAGGAGGTATACGATGTCCCGCCCCCGTCAGTGGCGGTGAAACGCGTCATGGAATTCAGCGCCCCCTTTGGCCAGGAGGTGTATGACGTCCCCACCAGCCGGAGGCAGACCGAAGCAGCGCAACTGGCCACAGATGTTTATGATTTCCCTCGTGAGCGCGCGGCTGTAGGCGAGGATGGTGGAGACTATGTTTACGATGTTCCACCGCAAGTGGTCCGTGACGTGGCCCCGGGCCCCTCGGATGAGCCGTGCGTCGGCTCCAACAGGCTGTCTGGCTCCAGCACGGGCAGCGCACGCAGCACTGTGTCGGGCAGCTCCCTGGACACGGTCCCCGTCAAGGAGCCCGCCGACGCCCGGCTCGACCTGGAGCTGGAGCCCGCCATGGAACGGCTGGCCCGCTTGCAGCAGGCAGTGGAAGGCTCCGTGTCCCTGCTGGTGGTGTTGGTGAGCGCAGGTTGGCGAGGGGCCGAACGCACGGAGGCGGGGTTGGTGGGGGCGCGGCAGGCAGCGGAACGGGCTCGGACCACCATGCGGGAGTTGCTGGAGTTCGCCCGCGGAGCTGTGGCTAATTCCGCCCAAGCACCCGACCGCACGCTTCAGGCCAAATTGAGCAAGCAGGTGCAGAAGATAGAGGAGGGGTACCAGGGCCTGGTGATGCACAGTCAGGTGCTGGACCGCGTGGGACTGGCCCTGACCTCACCACCTGCCCCCAGCGCTGCCGGTGCCGAGGACCTAGACCACTTGGCGGCCTGTCTGAGGAGTCTGCCGGACGACACCAAGCAGCTGGCATCCTTCCTACACGGCAACGCTGCATTGCTTTTCCGGCGGACCAAGCAGCGGCCGCCACCTGCAGACCCACTGGGTCAGCTGAACCCAGGCAACAGCATTGCGGCCGGTCAGATGGGCGGGCCAGAGCGGACCAACATCCAGTCACGCCCCCTACCGTCCCCACCCAAGTTCGCAAACGAGGAGGAGAGACTGGACAGACTACTGCCCACTAATGATGACAGGATAGAAGACTATGACTATGTCCACCTGCAGGTATGCTGCCCAGTGCCTCAGCCTTCAACAGCCTTGTGTAATAATAATAATAATAATAGTAATAATAATAATAATAATAATAATAATAATAATCACCGCGACCCAGATGGATTAAGCGGTATGGATAATGGATGGATGGATGGATGGATGGATGGATAATAATAATAATAATAAACAAGCCTCAGTCTATAATGGGAAAAATTGCCAAAAAGACACAGATGGATCAGCAACCCCACCACACCCCCCCACCAGTTGCTAAAATTTGACAAGGTGGGGGGGGGGGATCCTAGGCCACCAATATGATAAATGATGAATAACCAGGCCTTGTGGCTGAAATGGGAGACCCTGGTCTAACATACTGGAAACATCCCCCCAACAAACAAAGCTGTGCTGTGCTTCAGTGGCAGACTGGCAGCCCCCCCCTGCTGGGAGTGTTTTAATGAAAATCACAGTTCACTGCGTTTCCTTTTTTTGTAAAATCTTTTTTCTCAATCTGTCTGTTTTTTAATTCAGTAGTTTTAAAGAGTGGGACACATTTATTTAGCTGTAAATATCAGTCTCCTTGTGTTTTTTTTAGGGAAAGGAGGAGTTTGAGAAGAGCCAAAGGCAGCAGTCAGAAAAAGGAAACAGCATTTGGAATAACAAAAGTCAGCTGGAGCAGCAGCAGGTGTGTGTGTGTGTGTGTGTGTGTCTATGTCTGTCTGTCAGCCTGTCTCTCTGTTTGCCTAGGAGACTTTGACAGAATGTGCAGAATATAGTTATTAGTGACAGTAAAACTGATGACTGATACTTTCTTCTCTGGACAGTTGAAGCAGTATGAGCAACTGGAGCAGGAAGTGACTCAGCCAATCAACAGCGACCTGAGCAGCTGGACTCCGCCCAGCCAATGCCCGCCCACACGGAGCAAGCTGTGCATGGGTGACCGCCAGCTGCTGCTCTTCTACCTGGAGCAGTGTGAGTCCAACGTGACTGCCCTGACCAGCGCTGTGGACACCTTCTTCTCCTCTATCAGTGGCAACCAGCCCCCCAAGATCTTCGTGGCACACAGTAAGTTCGTCATCCTGAGCGCGCACAAGCTGGTCTTCATCGGCGACACGCTGTCGCGGCAGGCCAAGTCCCCCGAGATCCGTGCCCACGCCGCGCATCACAGTGCCGCGCTCTGCGAGCGCCTGAAGGACATTGTGACGAGCACCAAGACTGCAGCCCTACAGTACCCATCTCCCAGTGCTGCTCGGGACACCATGGAACGGGTAGGAGAGCTAGCTGCCTGCACACAGCAGTTCTGCCTGGTCCTGGGTCAGTTGGCCACCATGTGAATGGGGCACAACACCCCAGCCCATCCCCAAACCAAGGGTGTGCCCTCCATCTGTTGGACACAGGAACATGCCCCCTGTGGGCAGGACCCCGACAGGACGTACACAGAGACCTTCTCAGGTGCTGCCCTGGAGAACAGGATATACAAAGAGGTACTTGCAGGACCGTCCCCTAGAGGACAGAATGCACAAGGAGGTCCTCACAGAGAGCTCCTAGAAGACCGGATGTACATAGAGCCCCTCACCGGCACGCCCCCCAGAGGACAACAAAAGGAATTCGAAAGAAGTGTTTTTATTTTAAAAAGGAAAAAATGGGTGAACATTGCCAGTGGTTGTAATATAATCTTTATAAATATCTTTCTTTTAAAAAATGAACTAACCTATATGTTTTGGAAAACCGGATTTCAGCAACGAAATTATTAGATTATACAGTTTTATTATTATTATGATAGCTACACTTTTATCATTAAAATGATGATTTGTATCATTATTGTAGGACTTGAAACTCAAGGGTCAGTGAAATGTAAGCATATGTTCAGCGAACTCATCCGAAGCCAGTTTCTTGCTACATTTTGGGCAGATACATTTTTCAAATGTGCATTTTTGTATGGAAAATGGATGCAGACAAAAACAAACGAGTTCATCTCCTGCGGTGAGGTGAGACTGACATCAAGATAAGACTTAATTCATAATAATTTTTAAAGGGAGTTTGTGCTAGTTAAAGTGCCACAGTTAGGAAGAATTCTTAGTCTTTGTCCAGATGGCAATGTTCAGAATGGAATGTATGGTCCCAGTAACACTGTACAACAATATTACAATGCAAACGGCTTTCACAGTAACAAGAGTCAGAATGCTTAATGACATTTCAAGATGATCCCTTAGAACAGTCATCGGGCGTTCTCCCTCCCCTCGCCTCCCTCCCCCCCACCCCATCAGACTTTTTCCTGCTCTTCTGAATGGTTAATATAATCTTGCGTGTTAGCCTGTGTTTCAGGTTGCCATACTGTTCCCAAATTTGGACAGAACTCTCCTGAGTGGTAAGCGTGCTCATGAGACATTGCAAAACCCTCAGTCTGCCTGCCCCTTGCTGGCCGAGGGGGGTGGGGGGGGGGGGGGGGGGGGGCTTTTACAGGGAGTTGGCATAAGGCAGGTTTGTGTTTCTGTATGTGCACTCAGTTGAAATATTTATATTTCAGTTTCACAAAAAATAATACATCTGAAACAAAATAACAGACATATAGAGATGTATTCAAAATAACATTGCCTGGTTTTGTTAAATTTCCTGATTGGTCACGTGCAGAAGCAAGGCGATGCTATTTTATATCTATATTGACTGGAATAAGTCAGGGAGCAAATGTGACAGGATACACACAGGCACTCGCTGGAGGCTGAACACGGCAAACCGAATCTGAAAGTAAGCCGTGGCAGGTGGACAGGATGTGTGCACATTTAAACACACGTTGTCACTGCACCAGTGAGTCACAGGTAACAGTGTGACAGATTGAAAACACAGGCAGAACATGAAGAACACGTCAGAAAGTGTTTGCAATACCGGATTAAAACATGCTATGAAAGAGGTTCCGGCTCTTTGGAGAGGCTGTGATGCAGGACATGTGCTCCAAATGGCATTACAGGATACATTTCTAGTACAGGTGCCTACATTCTAATACAGGCGCTTCATTTTTTAAATATGGTTATCAAAATAGTGTACAGTACAGAATTGAAAAATATATGCTGAATATATTTTGATTAAAGAAAAAGCAATGATTACATACAGTGAACAATGAACATACAGACTTTCTGCATGGACAGGTTCATGTGACTTATTTCCACCAGCGTTGGGAAAGCAACTGAAAACTATGTATGTCTGTGGTTTTGTGGGTCATGTGATGTCTGAGCATTTCCCGGTTTGGTCTGGTCTCATTTGGTATTTGTTGCAATATCAGGACTTCTTTTTTGTGACATACTTTTTACTGAACATGAAAGCGAAAATGTTTTTAATTCTTCCCATGAAATAACGTCAGTCGTTCAAAGTTACAATAAAGTGAAGATGCTTTTTCCCAGGACCCAAGATTATGTGCTAACTATGGGTTGAAAATTGTTCAAACCAGAAATACTCACAAAATATTAAAACCCCATTTCCAGACATCTATTCTCATTGTAAACTATGACTAACTTAAACAACATTTAATCCTCAGTTTTTCAAATAAACAGTACACTCTAAAAACATATGTGTTAAAAATATCATAAAGCACATGTGTGTCTAAGGACAGCATGATGTGTCAATTTTACTAAAAACAGTGTGTTAATCCAATATCATAATCAGTACTTGTTTGCTTGTAAACATACAGTTGACCTTCAAAGTACTTCTGTTTTAAAATCCTAAAAAATAGCACATCCTCTTTTTCACATTCACAGGTGACAGCTACTTTGCGGCAAGCTGGCTGGCTAGCAAACACGGTAGCTATATTGCTAGCCAGTGTCAGCTAGCTTATGAAATTCACTTCTTGTTACATGCTGCATTGCACCCGTAAAGCTGCCCCCAATTAACCATTTGGGCATCTGGGCACGTGCCCAGGGGCACCGCATCCTTGGGGGGCACCAAGAAGAGTGACTTCCCCCAAATCCCATTCAGGAATGTCTTTTAACAAGTTCATGCAATTTAATATCTAATATATTTAATGTCTATTGTTCTTTTAATATGGTGCTCACTGAAAACCCTATGTAACGTTTTCCCTCTGTAAGGTGTGTTTCTGAATTTCCTGAATCAGCTCCAGTCATGAGCCACCAATCAGCTCCAATCATGAGCCACCAATCAGCTCCAATCATGAGCCACCAATCAGCTCCAATCATGAGCCACCAATCAGCTCCAGTCATGAGCCACCAATCAGCTCCAGTCATGAGCCACCAAACAGCTCTAATCATGAGCCACCAATCAGCTCCAATCATGAGCCACCAATCAGCTCCAATCATGAGCCACCAAACAGCTCTAATCATGAGCCACCAATCAGCTCCAGTCATGAGCCACCAATCAGCTCCAGTTATGAACCACCAAACAGCACCTCTCCTCTCAGATGTGGTCTGGTGACGTATCTTCTTAAAAGCTAACCCATGGCCCAGATGCTCCTTCCAACGACCATGTGCTTGCTAAGAGCAGACTTACCATAAGGCGAGCACAGGCAGCTGCCCAGTGCCCCCTAAAACCAGGGACCCTACGAAGACAAAATTTCCAAAAGTTACATTTATGGATGTAAGATAGTATGAGTATTTTAATTATAACAAAGTGCATTAACGACTCTTTTCAGAATAGACAAGTTGTTTCACTTCCAAGTGAACCAGAACAAAGTAGCCTAACAGAAGAAGAAAACGACACAAAGATTAAAATATTACATCTCCAGTGTCCTGTCCTGCTAGCATGGTGGACAAATTGTGAAAAGAAATGGAGAAGCACAATTAAATGAACATTTGCAAAAATTCAATACTAACCACAGCCTTAGGGGCTGAGTAAGGCATAGGCCATCCTAGGCTGCAGCCTAGGCCCACGGCAAAAGAGGGAACAGTTAAATGTGCGATATCCCCTCCAGCTGATCGGAATATTTTACTGACAGCATTCCCGCCCCAAGCCTGATCTGTAAGTTTCTCCACTGACACCCTGCACTTTGACTAGTAGATTATTGATGATCCATCATATTTTTAATTCCCCCTTGTTTCTTTTTTGGCTCCAAAAATAGCTGAAATGGCCCAATTAGCCCCCCCCCCCCCCATGTTAGCCTAGGGGCCCCAGAGAATTTAGTCTGCCCCTGTCCTTGCTCAGAGTATTACCCTCTCTACCTGTGTGTTACCTGTGCATGACCCTCAATTACACCTCAGTTTTACACTCTGACACTCTGCCCCCTGCGCCTACATAATGTGTATGTGAGTTTAATAATTACTGATTCTGATTGGCCACTGAGGCTTCCCACTCAGCTCACATGTACAGAGTGGCAGTCATTTCCTCGGACCCTCAGCGAAAACCCACGGTTTCAGACAGGCGTAGACTGACCATCGGGAAGTTCAGGAAATGTCCTGGTGTGGCAAGATGCCCCCAGCGATTGGGGCTGCTTCACAGATAATTCCTGGACTGCTTTTTATTGCCTGTCCACCCCTGTTTTCAGGCTTAATAATAAGATGCATTTGGTCAGTTTCTGCAGCTCTAGCACAATCTAACCAACACTAGAGCATTCACACAGCCAAGCACAGTCCTTTATCCTTAAATTAAAATACATATCATTTTAGATGGCCAGTTAAATCATGGTTAAATATATTGTTAATTTAAAAAGCTACATTAAGTTACATGCTTTAACTTTGTATTATACAACTGAAAATAGAGAAGTAAGTTATATGAACACAACAGTCTGTTATTTACACATTTCAGTTTATTAAAGAGAAAATATACAGCAGACTGTGCTCAGAGTCTACTGTGAGCTTCTGGGGGACATCAGACAGGAGTCTAAAGTATTTCTTTACTTGATGTAGTATTTTAAAAGTTCTTCCCATTTCCTCAAACCAGTTTCATAGTATAAAAAAAACAAAATGGGCGTGAAGAAGTAAATCACACGAGTACCAGCGAAAAAGGGAATGAACAGAAACAGAAAAATGTCCATGATGAAAATTACATCTTAAACATACATTTTCAGTTAATTAAAATGCAAAGGAAATGCAAAGGCTTTGTCTTTGTGGTAGCATGGTATTTAATCATGACAGAATTGGCTTCATTAGCCATAAAAAAAAATAATAAAAGCAATAAACATTTACAATAAAAGATCGTATAAAATTTTGTACAATGAACACTGCAGATGCAGACGTTCTACGCCGACCCAGACTGACCGAAATCTCGGCGAAGATTTCGGGAGGCAAAGGTGTACAGGAAGGGGTTGACACAGCAGTTGATGAAAATCAGAGCTTTTGAAAAGTCTCCGCTTATCCTTCTGAATTTCTTTAAGCTATTATATGCACCTGGGTTAGATGTTCTGAGTAAAACTGATGCAATGTCCACCATATTGATGATATGCAAAGGGATCCAGAAGATGAAGAATGCCGCAATAATCCTGGAAACAAGCTTAGTGGTCCTTTCATTATGAAATAAAGGGTGCTGATTTAATTTCTTGTGAAGACGGAGATAGAATACGACAATGATGAAAAAGGGGACAAGGAAACCAAAGAGAGTCTCCAGCAGAAGGACCACCACTTTCTCAGCATCCGAGCTGGTTGTCTTCTGGCACCTCAGCCGATCTCTCCGACACACGGCATCACTGTAGAAGATGGCAGGAGAAGCAAGGGCCCCACCCACAATCCACAGACTGACCAGCAGCACCCTCTCCACAGTCCCACGCAGTCTCAGCCAGATTCTGTCCTTGGAGTACAGAATCTGTATATAACGCTGTACGCTCATCAGGGTGACTGTCCACACACTAACAAATTGACTGCAGTAGACAAAATAGGAGAAAAACTTACAGAGTTCAGTACCAAGAGTCCAACCATGTACAATAGCATACACCCACACTGGGAGACTGACAAGGCAAAGGAAGTCAGACACGGCCAGGTTCAGCATCAGTCTCACGGTAAAGATTCCCTTCTTGAAATTGCGAAGTATCACCATGATCACCACAATGTTTCCCGGGACACCGATAAAAAAGCACAAGGCCAGAACCACACTGGGAGCCAATGTCTGAGACGGAGGTCCATGGATCCAGGAGGTGCAGTTGGAAACAGAGGAGTTGGGCTGCAGCATTACAGGATGCGAAGTGTGAAAACGGTGAGAAAAGCAGAACAATAACTGAAAGCTGATGTGCAATAATCCAAAGCAGTTCAAGGCAGAGAATGATCTCTTTCTTCCTGTCTGTGTTGTGAGGACAAGAAGACAGACAGTGACGCGAATCTGCTTCAGGTATTTCCGTTTATTTAAGGCTGGGCTCGGGCGATCGGAGTTGGTACAGAAGAGGGCAGAGGCGTAGAGCAAGGTCGGGTCTCCAGGCAGGGGTCGGGCGATCGGCGTCGGTACAGGTAGCAGAAGTCAGAACACCAATAATCAGACACAGGAGAAAACGCTGGAACTCTGGGAACACCATGAAGGTCTCGCACGGATCGAAAAGCCGAGCTGCCAGATATAGAATACGGAAAACTAGGAACAGCTGGGAGAAGAGTGTCCGAGACGAGAGCCACCGGTAAAACAAGAAAAACTGGACGACAACCTCGGGGAAGCCCTATCGACCGGAATCCCCGGGGGGGAGGGGGGCGTGGCTGAGATGCCGATGGGGATTCTCCAGTGCCATCCATGACAGTCTGAGGCTGAGCTGTAAGTTTCACAAGTAGGATTGTAGAATAAAATACGCCGCAGCAGGCAGAGTGTGCAGTGCTTTCATATAGACAAAGCTTTTCATATAGAAAAATATTCGTTATTGCTTAATTGTTTAATTAATCCAGGTGTTTGATTCCCACTACCGTGGGCAGGATAAGCAGCTAGAAGATGGATGGGTGAATTCATGAATGGATGTTGTTTGCGTGCAGTTACTATTGCAGGAGCCCTGAATGTATGTAGGTCCTTCTAAGCACTCGTGGTGCTTTTATACACACACACACATTTCGAACTAATCGTAATCATTTTGTCCTCGCTGTCAGACTCACTCATAGACAGTGTGGTGCATTTATGAAATATTTAACAAAAAAAGTGAGGAGGAGAAAAGCAAACAAGAACTGCTCACCAAAAGGTATTCGCCTTTTCATCTGTTAAGCAAAAGCAAGTGATACTGGCACAACTCACCCCAGCACCACCAGCTTACCTAACACACATTATTTCAGTATCTTGTAGCCCTAGATGACAAACATTTTCCTTATCAACAAACCAAACAAACTTCCATCTACAGGACTAAGGATTTTAACATAAAACATTCGTATCAGACTACCCCCCCCTGTTCAGTTATATAGATAGTCATATCCTATCACAGTGTAAGCTGTGACATGTTATACTTTAATTGTTTAAAGCAGGGGTCTCCAACTCCGGTCCTGGAGAGCTACCGTCCAGTAGGTTTTCTATCATACCCGGCTTCTGATGAGCCACACCTGTTCTCAGGTAAATACCAGGAACAGGTGTGGCTCATCATAAGCCAAGTAGTATAGAAAACCTACTGGATGGTAGCTCTCCAGGACCGGAGTTGGAGACCCCTGGTTTAAAGCATCACGGCAGATGCAGATGTAAAAAAAAAACAAAAAACAACCCAAACCTACCATCTATACAGCCGAAGACCCCCAGACTATGTTGAATTAAATCACCACAAAACATGTTCCTTCCATTCCTCTGTGAATTCTTTACTCAGGTTTTTATCAAAGGCAAATTTACACTGCGATTATTTCTGCTGTGCAGTTGTCATTTATTTCTGTTGTTGCAGTGCATGTTCACCTGGGAACACATATGGGGGAAACTGGGCTGTTCATGGGGGGCCAGACCCCCGTGGCTTAGCTTGCAATATCTGTTCTAGTTCATCCCAAAGGTGTTTGATGGGGTTGAGGTCTGGGCTCTGTGCAGGCCAGTCAAGTTCTTCCACAACAAAGTCACCCAATGATGTTTTTATATGAATCTTGCTCTGTGCACTGGGGCACAGTCATGCTAGAACAGAAAACTACCTTCTCCAAACTATGTCCACAAGTTGGAAGCATATAATTGTCCAAAATGTCTTTGTATGCTGAAACATTAAGAGTTCCCTTCACTGGATCTAAGAGGCCTAGCCCAACCCCTGAAAAACAACCCCATACCATTATCCCTCCTCCACCACTCTATACAGCTGGTACAATGCAGTCAGGCAGGTAATGTTCTCTTGACATCCACCAAACCCAGATTCATCAATCAGACTGACAGAGAAGCGTGATTGGTCACTCCACAAAACACATTTCCACTGCTCCAAAGTCCACTGGCAGCGTGCTTTACACCACTGCATCTGACGCTTGGCATTGCACTTGGTGATGTGAGGCTTGAATGCAGTTGCTCGGCCATGGAAGCCCATTCCATGAAGCTCCCAGTTCTGTACTGGGGTTGATCCCAGACAAAGTCTGGAAATCTGCAGTAATTAAGTTAACAGAGCACTGGTGACTTACACTATGCACCTCAGCACTCAGCGACCTCACTCTGTTACTTTACGTGATCTGTCACTTCGCAGCTGTGTTTCTGTTCTTAAACACTTCCTCTTTGCAATAATACCACTTACAGCTGACCGTGGAATATCAAGCAGGAAAGAAATTTCACAAACTGACAAAGGTAGCATTCTGTGACAGAACCACTGAGCTCTTCAGAACAACCCATTCTTTCACAAATGCTTGTAAACTTGACTTCGTGGCTAGGTGCTTCATTTTATAGACCTGTGGCAATGGGTCTTAATGAAACACCCGAATTTAATGATTAAATGGTGTCCTAATACTTTTATCCATATAGTGTATATTCAGACCCCAAATGTTAATGTTTGGACATTCTGCATGACTTAAATGAAGAAGTAGAACTCCATAAACATATATGTCTTAACACACATAGCAAACTAACAAAAAATGCTAGTTCAAGCTAATACCACAATCCAGTATGCCCAGCATTTAGAGAATAATATCAGACCATTAAGATGTCACCAAGTAACTATCAGTAGGAACCGTCCAGAACAGAAAAAGGAACAAAAAAGCTTGAAAGAGTTCAGACCAGCCAGCTTTATACTTTATTTTTTAGGGTCATTTCAGGCGAGTAGCATCAAAACACAGGTCATGGACTGTGGAATCATATACCACAATATCTTGTGTTTTCATTATTTACATGCTCCTTGTGGATTAATATTAAATATTTCTTTTAACATAATCTCCTCACAAAGCATTCATCTACAAAAAATATGTAATGTATATTTTTTAAGCTTAAGATAATGACAGACATGAACACTGAACATGCAATACAATCAAAATGTACCAGCACAGAAGCACAAGGCAGACAGAAATTACTTATCATTTACAAAAAACTCATTATTTATATGTGATATTAATGATTAAATAATTATCTCAGGCAAAAGCATAATCAGAAATTTCTAAGACAACAAAAAATAAATAGGACAAAGTCAGATACTGTAAGTCAGAGGTTGCCAGATAAGCAGTCAGATAAGTCAGATAAGTCAGAGGTTGCCAGTGGAGACATCCTGTGTGGCAAAGGCGTACTGGAAGGGGATTATGCAAGTACTAATAAAGCTGAGGCAACTTACAATAGTGCTGCTGAAACTGCAACACTTCTCCAGTTTGACCGATGCACCCGGGTGAAGTTCTGCTTGAAATGACGAAGTATCACCACAATCACCATGACATTTCCTGGGACACTGATAAGGAAGCAGAAGCCCAGAACCACACTGGGAACCACTGCCTTTGGTCAAAAGTCCCATGTGTTAGACTGGTTCATCATGAGTATGAGAGTGACTGCAGTGCATCCAAAACAAAATTGCACTTGAAGGGACAGGAAGTAACATGGAAAAAAAAGCCATGGGTGATTTTCCATTAGCAAATTAAATACATCACACTGATTTTATGCATCAAACAAAGCTTGACTTAGCACACAGTTAATTTGCTTAATTAAGAGGAAAACACAAAATTCAATAAGGTGTAGGAATTATTAGCACATGGAAAATTTTAATATCTCCACCAAACTCAATTGCGGTATCCCTGTAAGTCTGTTAATGTGAGACTTAAATGGGATTCACTAATTACCAGTATTGCTTAGTAACCTGGGTTAGAAGGCTCGTCCAGCGAGCTGCACCACCAGGTAATGTAAACGATTGGTAGCGAAGCTCCCCTCACGGCCGATGAGAGAGAGTCTCGCGATATTTCAGGCGAGTTTGAGGTTACAGAGCGTGTAGCTAGATCGCACAGAATCAGGGACTTATTGTGAGCACTCAATGAACGGAGGCTGAAGTTGTGTAAAAGACATGCATTTATTCGTACAGGTAACTAACACTACAACTAAAATAAGACAGACATTACACCTAACACAAACAACAAACACGAAATAATGGAATAGAAACAAACAATGTAATTATGGAAATGCAATGACCGGATTTAAATGAGTAACCTTAAAAGGCAAATACTGTTCTGCAAAGCAAGCACAGTTTCTGGAAACACGACCCTAAAGTCTTATAGCAGGCTAACAGAACAGCTTAGGTTGTTAGAATAAAAGGAAGTTGGTTTACTTGGTTGCAGAGGGGGGGGGGGGGGGTGGTCTTGGCAGTTGGTTGCAGAGGCTGATGAGGTGACGGGTGATGGCACTCAGGATGGCGCGGCGTTTGGAGCAGTGGATTGGAGCCCCTTGGATTCTCTCTCCTGGTGAAGCTTTGTCTTGGTTGCAGTTCTCTGTCCAGCTGGGCCTTCACCGGAGGGCTTCTTGTGGGCTTCTCTTCTCCTGGGCCGATGTTCTTTCGCCTCTCTCTTCGGGCTGATGGTTTTTCTGCTCCCCTTTGTTCTGAGATGCCAGGTTTTTATGGATTGTTAAACAAAGAAAGAACACTCTGAAAGTTAGGACACACTGGTTACACTATTTAATTTTCCAGATTCTTCTGGTATAACCATGAGAACATATATGCAGTGGTAGCTATACCTATTTATTTATTAAAATTTATATAAGTGTTCAAGGGGTTTAAAATAGGTGATACTCCGTGAACATGGTTATAAGGGTGGCACACAAAACACTAAGATTGTCTAAGGACACATACAAACACATACAAACATAACCTATCTGTATATTGAGACTAGTAGTCATGAGTAAATCAATATACAAGCCAAACTTAAATGAAACTTCCTTTAGGGTGTTGGTCTGTTGGGTGAGTGGTATGTAAGGCAGGATGTCTGGGGAGGGGGTTGTGTGCTAAGTCGAGGGACCCCTGTCCTTGAGGTCCACTCTGCTGTCTGTAGGTCCCTAAATCTTTGGGCAATAAAAGTTGGAGTACTGGCCTCCCTTGTTATCTGTGTGTGTGTGTATGTGTGTGTGTGTTTAATTGTGTTTATATGTGTGGGGTCACTAACCCCCCTTTGGTGTCTAGGCCAATGTGTACCTCTCGTACCAGGCTAGGCCCTGTGGTATGTGCATGTGTGATCCTACAAAGGCCATTTGGGTGTCATTGGTTATATTGCCAGACTTTAAACAGAATTAC